CACACTCCATAATATTTAGAACAGTTTACTATTTTCCCAAAGACCCCCCAAATAAGTATTTGAATAACCAATTATGATAATTCTTGCCTAAATATAAACAATAAATGTTAGCTGTTTTTTTAATTCACTTATCGGTAAATATTCAAAAAATCCACCTATCCCCAATATCAATTACCAACAATTTGAATATGGTATTATCAAAGTGAAATGTTATTAGCAGGTAGGTGTGAACGATCAATACTCAGATATGTCGATCAAGGTAATATCTGCACTTACTGTTCTTACCACTGCTAAGCGAGCTATACCATTCTAATAGTATTAACAATTATATATATTTTTTATAATGTGTACATGTGTAATGTTAGTGATAGAGATAGTATATACCATTCAGCCTCCTTAGCTCACACTCATTTCGCCACTAACCTAACACACAGAATCAATTGAATGAACAACAAATACAAAGCATAATCAATAAATATGTATGTAAGCATGTGTGTGTGTGAAAAAGTGAAAAGTTATAAAACAAGCCTGCCCTGATAAGGTGATGATAATGTGGTAATCGCTATTGTAGTATTCCTTTGATGTACCCTACGTAAATTCTTTTCACCTTTTGATAGGGTATGTTTCTGATTGTATAACTTCATAAGAAATCCCGGCCAAAATGTCATTTACTAAATATAAGATTTCTAAATATACGATTTGATGCCAAACTTTGCTATCCATTATGAAATCGCCTCACTCTAGCGTAGCACTATCCTAGGACCCTTTTTATACCCTCCACCATTCTGTGGAAATATTTATAATAGAAATATTTATAATAGACCCTACAAAGTATATATATTCTGGATCAGCGTAAAATTCTATGTCGATATAGCGATGTCCGTCTGTCTGTCTTTCCGTTTGTCTACCTGTCAGTTGTAATCACGCTATCTTTCGAACGAATTGAGATAGAAGGCTAAAATTTTGCATACATACAGGGTTGCCCATATTCGACGGACCCATCTGGCAACGCCATAACTTTTGACAGAGATGTCACATCGCTTAATGGCGCGTTTGAAGCGTCAGTCCAAGCAAATTTTTACCATGAACCAATACACGCCACGCGAGCGCTCTGAAATTTACTTTCAACAGAAGAAGTCAATTGTGAAAACTCAACGTGCTTTTAAAACATTAAAAAATGTGAGAAGTGCGCCTTCTAAGAACACCATTAAGCGTTTATACGAAAAATGTTCGACTGGTAAGGCTCTTTCTAATCCGAAGAGGCCATATAAAAGTCGACCAAGGCGATCGGCTGAGAATATCGCTGCCGTACGAGCCAGTGTTGAGAGGTCCCCTAGAAAATCCCAAAAACGCCGCTCTCAGCAGTTGGGCATGGCTCGGTCCACTTTACAACGGATTATTCGCATTGATTTGCATTTGTTCCCGTACAAAATTCAATTGACGCAAAGAATGTTGCCTGCGGACAAGCCTCGTCGATTGGAATGGGCCCAAAGAGTCATGGGTCCGTCCAATATGGGCAACCCTGTACATAGTTTACCAGTAGGCAGGATAAGTTCGTAAATGGCCATATCGCCATGACGGTCCACGTCTTCGTATAGCCCTTATATAACGGTACCTCCCTATATATGTATTTTCATGTTTTTAGCGACATTATTTACCGGAATCGTTTCAAATTGCGTATTTGAAGTTCGTAATGGGTGTAACAGCCTATGACAAAAAAAAAGCAGGTCCACGTCTTCGTATAGCCCCCATATGACGGTATTTTTATGATTTGTGCGATTTTTTCACCGGAAATGTAACTAATTTCGTATTTAAAGTTCGTAATGGGTACTACAGCCTATGACAAAAAATCGTATGTAGATTCACTTTTTCGTATATCCCCCATATTCGGTATTTTTATGATTTTAGCTATATTATTCACCGGAATTGTTTCACATTTGGCATTTGAAGTTCCTAATGGTATAGGTCAGCATTTTGATTCCACCACCAGATTCAAGGTGTTTTGCTTGTTTTAGTCACATTTTAGCACTTTTAGTTTACAGCTTGCACAAAACTGTCTCTGTAGGTTCAACTTTTTGTGTAGTTCCCATATGACACCTTCAGATATTCGGATTTTGATGATTTGTGTCAAAATTTTCAACGAAATTGTTTCAAACGTCGAATTTCGTATTCTCTTCGAATTTTCGGATTTTTTTTTTTTTGCTGGCGGGGAGATTCTAACCAGTATCCCTAGGTTTTGTAGTCTCCCGTTACTGAGATAAAATATAGTTATTTTGCCTTGTAAATGTTACAGGCATAAGTCATTATTCTTAAAGCTTTTACAATTTAAATATTCATCATTGCCATAATTTGTGAAATCACTCTCAGATTTTCTCCAAAGCGCACCCTTTTTATTATGATTTTACAAAAAATATTTTTTAAAGATATACAAATATACATACCAAATTCTTAGCTACTACGTGAATTGTTAAGGATATTTTTGGGAGGTCTATCTGAGCTATAATTGCAGTTATTTTAAGAGTATTTTGGAAGGATTTTTTTTTATTTTTTACCAAATCACTACGTTTGTTCTATTCATAGATTTCTTAAAATATTTTTTGAAAGAATTTCTGAACAATAATTGTGGATTATTAAAAATATTTGTGGAAGGTCGTTCTGAACTGTAATCGAAATATTGTTAGCAGGACTGTTTGAGCTTTAATTGTTGATTTTTTCAAGGAATGTCATTGCAAATATTCAGATTGTTCTTATTATTTTTTTAAGACTTCCTGAGCTATAATCACGTTTTATCGTAGAATTTTATGAATATTTTTAGACAGACTATCTTTGAAGGTCTCTTTCTAACCACTCATCACCATTTTTACAATGGTGCTTTTCGCACCCTTCTACATTACAAAACTCTGTCTTACGTAAGCACTTCCAGTCAAAATCATGGTAAATTGCAAGATTTTATTTTAATTTTATTTATTTATTTTAATGTTATTCTTTACTATGGACAATTAGTATTATTACATGGAGCCTATTTTAAAATGGTGCTACAATTGTGATTTCGAAATATAAAGTTTTAGACATGGTACAATAAGAAGGTAGAACAGCTTCGTAAAACTACAAACTACAAAAACTACAGCTTCTTGTCAATATTATTCAAAATAACATGCAACAATTTTTTTTCCTCATTTTTAAAATAAGTTAAATTGAGCGAAAAATGATTGAAATCTCGATTATGATCTAAGATTTTCAATATTTTAATTCTACGGTAAAACTGGTTAATATTTTTGATAATACGAATTTGACAAATTAAAAAAAATATATAAAATCCGTTAAATATTCTGTTAAAATTTTAAAGAATACCGAATGTAGCCGTTATATTAGGGTCTATACGACGACGTGGACCTGCATCATCAAATTCCTCAAAATACCGAATATAGGCAGGTACCGCTATCTGGAGGCTATAAGAAGACGTGGACCTGCACAAACAATCTTCTGTCATAGGCTGTAGTATCCATTACGAACTTCAAATACCAAATTTGAAACAATTCCGGTGAATAATATCGCTAAAATCATTAAAATACCGAATATCGGGAGGTACCGTTATATGGGGGCTATGCCAAAACGTGGACCTGGTGGACATGGCCTATGGTATTGAACAAAGGTCCTGCAAACATAATATACATTTGAGTAAGATTTTATCAACCTACTTCAACTACTTCGTTCGGAATCTAGAGTGATTTCCACAGACGAATATACGGACGGATATGGCTAAATCGACATAGAATTTTATGCTGATCCATATATTTCGAGGTGTTACAAACGGAATGACAAACTTAATATACCCTCCATACTATGGTGGATGGTATGAAAACGGCGAACGTCTACCTCAGTTATTAGGTTGGAATGTAAGGTTTTGTGAGTTCAAACAGATAGCTTTTTCCAAACAATTTTAAAACTTTTTGTTGAATCATATTTCAATTTCTCCATAAATTTTAATTTTTTTTTGCAAATATATTAAAAATATTGAGTAACAGCCTGTTTTTTGTAAAAAAATACTTTTACTTCAATCTTTCGTTTTCAAACGTATTATTTTTAAATTTGGTTATCGTTTATTTTAGTAAAGCTTTGATATGTAATACTTGCATAACCATTAGTTTGTGCATTTTTTATTATAACTCATTAGAAATGGTGTTGTTTGTTGTAACCCCAATAAATTCCCAATTTTCAACAAAATTGGAAAATGTCAAAAAAAGTATTTGCAAAATATGGGCATGTTGGATGCGTTCGCAAAAAATTGATGTCCTAAAATAATTTGGTCCGAAATGTACATATCGTAATATTGCTACAAAACTTAGATCATGTTAGAATATAAACCTCCCATATAAGTAGCCAACATATTGGAGATCATAAAAGTACTTCAAATAATAGCAACGAATTACTCGAATTTGAGTGGGAGTACTCTTACGAGTAAGGAAGAAATCGGTTATGCCATATTTTTCTATGGGTGAAGAAAATCTGGTTCAATAATTTTCAATTTTTTTTGTAAGTGGAAAACCAACTTGAGGAGCTTTGTCAGTTAATGTTTAGTTCTCTCAATTCATTAAAAAGATACCATTTTATTTCACCTTATTTTTTTAATTGAGTTTGCACTAATTTGATCTGGAAGTGATACATTTCAAGATGGGATTACGAAATGAGATCAATTTAATTCTACTAAGCATGTGTGCATCTATTTATTTAGATTCCTACGATATGACATGATTATGTATAGTTGATGGAAACTAAATGTCTGAATGGAAACATCTGACAAGAAAAACGATGATAACTTATCAATGGTGACTTTCCACTAAAGCCACACAATTGAGGCGGCGTCGCTTATCTGTTTACAAATAGTCTAACATATCTACCGCCTGTAGGGTATATCCCATAGTCGTTGATAATTCGCCAAGAAGATTATCAGCGGTGTTTAGTGCGAAATGGCAATATGACGAATTATGATTTACGTTTGAAATCTATAACAGCGGTGGTGGTGCTGATGGTGGAATATTTAACATTCAAAATAGCGGACAAAACTTAAATTCAGTTGTTTTCTTAAAATCGTCCAGTGAAGGTCGTACAGTGTGCCGAGTGTGTGGTACACTTTCTGCGAAAAGGAAAAGAAAAATATTCGGTGAAGAAGTGAAAAGAAATCTAGAAAAAAAGAAAAAAAAAAATGGGTGGTGGTTCAAACGGCGTAGAAGTTCAGATGGCAAATGAAAAACCCACGAATGGCATAAAATCTCCTGCCAATGCATCAACAGTAACAACAACGACAAATGGAGCCAACAAAGCCATTATCAAGGAAAATCTAAATGGCAAAATTGTCATACCAAGTGCAAGTTGTAAAATTCCTTCTCAGTTTGAGGCAAATGGTGAAATTATTGATCCCCATTGTGATCCTAAAAATCCTCAAAAGATCTCATTCCATGACATTACTTCGGCTGCGTTTTTAATTAAGGATGGCATTGAGAGGACACCGTGTCCGGTAAGTGTTTTTTTTTTTTTGAAATTGAAAGGAAATTCAAATAAGATGTGTTTTACATTTATTAATATTTCTCAACAGCGCTCCACGACATCAGATTCCTATGGCATGGACTTATATTTGAAAAAAGATTTCCTTCAATACACAGGAAGGTAAGTTATTAAAAGATTTTTTCGAATCTAATATGAAATATTTAAATTAATTTGTTGTGGCGGTTAAGTTTTTATACCCTACAACACTTTGTGTTGGGGGTATTATAAGTTTGATTGGGCCAAAAATTATATAACACCTCGAAATATTGATTTCCCACATAGGAAAGTATATATGGATCTTCCTATCTCGCCGAGCTGAGTCGATCTAGCTATGTATGTCCGTCTGTCCGTCTGTCCATGTTAATTTGTAATCACTCTACAGGTCACAATTATGGCCCGATCTTCACGAAATTTAGAATGTAGGTGGGGTTTGGACCAGAATAGAACCCTATTGCTTTTGGAGATGATCGGCAAATGTTTAGGGGTTGAAATGGACCAAATACTGAAAAAATGTCGGATTTTGCAGTAGCTATACAGGTCGCAATTATAGACCAATCGACGCGAAATTTCGCATGTAGATAGAGTTTAGGGCGGGGAAGAAGCCTACTGATTTGGGTGGTCATCGGATAATATTTAGCGGGTAAAATAGACCATATCTTTTGTGATGAAAAAAATCAAAATTTTTCATTAAACCGTGAATATTTTAAATCCCGACGAAATCACAAAGCCATCACAAGGTTACTTCTGATCTTTACATTGATGTTAACATCCATCAAATCGGATATATAGCAAAATATGTGCGATATATATGTCTATCAAAGAAGATATGCTTGAAAGATCTCTTATATGTCGAGAACGGCTGAACTGATTTTGACAGTTCTCATTAATTCAGAATGGTCTCTTGGCAGGAAAGAAAAAACGTCTAAAAAATCGCCTAAAAATATCTCTCTAAAGATGAAAATTTTGATTTTGTAAAATTTTCTCATATTTTTTTCAATTTTGTCACATTTTTGGCATATTTTCATTTTGAATTAAATATTTGGTAATATTTCTACAGCTAACAAAACTAAGTAGTTAGGATATCAGGATATCATATACAGATCTCATTTATGGTCCGATCCTTACGAAATTTTGCATGGGGATAAGATGAGGGTCAAAATAGAAGCCTACTCTTTTTGAAGATGATCGCCATATATTTAGGGGTTGAAATGGACCAAAAAACTGCAAAATTGTCAGCAGGTCGTACTTATCGCCCGATCCTCACGCACATTTGAATGGGGGTTACCGGACATTGCAAAAGCCAAGCAGTTTCGGATGGCCATCCAAAAATATTCAATGTGTGAAATAGTTTGCCAACTTTTGTAGACAAAATACGAAAATGTCCATTCCAGTGACTTTTTGGAGAATTCACAAATACAGGAAAGACGCACTTCCGACTATTTCGTTAACGCTGATTTCGTTGAAGAATATAGTCAAATGTCTGTATCTCATATAGATGCATTTCAGTCAAAAACCAATAATAAATGTTAATCTTTTGCCACTTTTGAGAGGTTATAGATCTTTGGGAAATATTGGTTCCAGATCTAGGAACTTCTACCAATAAATTGGAAATGAGCAAATTAGTTTAAGTTGCTATTATTCGAAAATTAGAAAACGAAACCTGATGGTTTTCTTTTATTATTTGTCACAATATCTTGTGGAATTCTGTCGAGTATTTCGCCTATATAAACTGTATGGTTTATTATAGTGTTGTAGGGTATTCAACTGTCGGCCCCGCTCGACTGTAGCCTTTGCTTACTTGTTAGAAATGATTTTATATAAAATTATGTTAAGTTGAAATTAACTTTTTTTACTGTGGAGAAACCGTTTGAAAAATGAGTTTGAATTTATTCATCGATTTTTCAGACAGCTATATATGCTCACCCCTTAAGAAAAAAAAAATGTTAACTCTGTTAATCCTATCCAATAATTAGATTACCAATCGTCGTTCGCCATAAATATTTTAAATATTATTACAGTACACTCTTTGTGAAAAATAGCGGAGGAGTATGGCAAAATTTACAGAATCGTTCATGGTTAACGAAGGAAGAAATACAACAGCCTTAGTTAGCTTTATTTAAGATTTTGAATTGGATCTGTAAATTTAATATTCAAAACTAACATATTTCTGGACCAAAATGGAGTAAATGTTTAGCCAAAGATGAAGAAGAGTAAGAAGAGGACCTCTTAGTTCAAACTTTCGAAAATGGTTTTGTTGGGATATGGAAATTTTGGTCCTAATCAGGAGCTTCCTTCAAAAGTTAAATTGTGTACCATCGCCGCTTGGTTAGAGTTTTTGTGTTAACTGGACTTTATAAGCCTTACGACCCAAGACTTTATGCAAAATTCGTTGTACTGACGCTTTAATAGGGTACAGAAATAATACCGGCAACTGTTCTTCAGAGACGTGCACGGATTTTATTTTGCTCGACAACCCAAAAAATGTTAGCTGCTTACTATTTTTTGCAACGATGGCGTAGTTGTTAATTGTCAAAATAAAACCTCTTGTTTGAAAACGCAGTATGTAATTTATGATTTTCAAATATAATGTTGACCGTTTGTGAGGCTTGAACCAGAATATATGAACCGATTATCTAATCTATACACAGTATTTCATATAAGCAGAAATATTAAGATGAACAATTTCTATGAAAATCGTTGGAACATTTCTCATTTTATGAGTGTTGCGATTAATTTATTATGATCCGAGGAACCGGAATTTATTGTGATCCGAGAAACCGGAAGATGTGACCCATAGGTTTTACATTTGATTTAACGATTCGGAGGAGGAGAGGCCGGCTACTTAAAAAGTTTAAAATTTGGAAAACTTGGGTTCGTGTTAGCTGGACATACCTAGAGGAGAAAAAAGTTTAAAATTTGGAAAATTTGGTTCACGTTAATCGTTGTCGGACATACCGAGAGAAGAGTGAAAATCTCCAAATCTTACAAAATGAAATAAATTGAGAAAACTTAGGTTCGCGTTAGCCGCTGTTGGACATACACGGAGTAGAACATCTAAAGACGCGACCGAAGGCCGGCTACTTACAAAAAGTTTAAAATTTAGAAAACTTGGGTTCGCGTTAGCTGGAGGTGAAAAAAGTTTAAATTTACAAAAAGTTTAAAATTTACAAAACTTAAGTTCGCGTTAACCTGTGCCAGACATACCCAGAGAAAAGAGAAAATCTCAAGCCCCGGCCGGAGGCCGGCTACTTACTAAAAGTTTAAAATTTAGAAATCTTTGGTTCGCGATAACCGGTGCCGGACCTACCCAGAGGTGCCGGACCTACGCGAAAATCTCAATTTTTCCGTATTTTGAGGAATTTATCGAATTTCTAATATTATTCGTAAAAAATCTGGTATTACGAGTTCGTAAAGGGTTCTGCATCATGTGGCAGAATATTGACTATATTGCTCCACGTTTTCGTATATCCCCAATATACATAATTGTACCTCAACAATATTCAGTAATTTTACGACCGGAATAATATAAAATTAGGTATTTAGAGTTCATAACGGGTTCTACTTTCTGTTTCTGGATATTGTCTATATTGGGCCAAATTTTCCTATTGGTCCCATATAATAGTACCTACCGATATTTGGCATTTTGACTTTTGATTTTTACCACAGTTTTTAGCGGAATAGATTAAATTTCGGTAGAGCAAATAGAAAGGTGGGTACTAGCTACCGATATTTTCAAAATTTATTAATACGACACAAGGCAAGGGGAGTATCATCTCTTTTCAAAACATCGAACATTACACGATTTTGGTAAAATATTGGGTCAGGTATTAAATTGGAAAACATAGGTCCATTTCCTTTGCTACCTCCTTCACACAGGGAGTAAACTTATGTGAGGTAAATCGTGAAACCTATGATCGTTGCGTATTGTGACATAAACCTTCAAAATATCGAAAATCGGGAGGGGGCTATAGCCATTAGTGGACCTGTAGCGAACACCTTTTCGCAGGAAGAGAACAGACTTTCCCAGAACCCTAATTGTTAAGTTTCAGCTCTGGATTAAACAATATGAATTCTATTGTGATTTCAACAGAAAGACAGACTAACATCGCTAAATAGCCTTATAATTTTAATCTGATTAGAAATATGTATACCTATTTTGGTTTCCGACGATATTTCGAGGAATGACATCTTACACATACCCTTCATTGTATGGTGGATGGTACACAGTGTAGGGTGTAAAAATGGTCGTAGACTGAGGATATATATTTACCTAAGTTTTGCCGATTAACATTCAAGTCCAGAGTCAAATTCTAAGTTCGTTAGTCTGTTGGATTTACAAATTATGATAGGAAACAGACATTTTGGAATTTAAGTAACAGAATTGTAATCAAGTCAAAATCGAAAATGCAATTTGTTAGTTGCATTGTTGGCTTCAATTTAGCAGCTTGTGTTCTCAGTGAAAAAAAAATGTTTGATAAAGGACACTTTTTATTAATTGGAACCTACGATCTATCTAACTATACACAGATTTCAAAGATGATGTCTCTCATTAATAAAAAATTGTTACATATATAAAAATCAGTTTTTAGAAAAACGCTTTGATAAATTAATTTGTAATTTGATTTTACACAAAAACTTAAAAAAGTTGCTGGTCAATTATTTTCAAAAGTGTCACTAGATATCTGCGTCAAATGCGCAAGCGTGGTTTGAATTATTTGAGTGCCCCATATAATCAAAATGCCGTTTTGATGAATTATGTCAAACTTCATAACCCTAACGCCTTGAATTCTACAATATGATAATTGGATGGAATGATAAAGTAAGTTGAATAGAAACAAGTAAGCAAAGGCTATAGTCGTGCGGGGCCGACCATGTGATACCCTACAACACTACAATATGTTAGAAGCACCCTTATTTCCAAGTCCATTTTGGAAGATTTCCCTTTTGAAATTTTGTCATGGAGCACTGCCCAGATATTGCCCTTTCCATTTTGACCAGGGACATTTGAGGCTCTTAATATTTTGTTATCATCTCCAAAAGCAAGAAGCCGCTCTGCACCTACAAATATAGACCCATCTATATGATTTGCAGCATAAAAAACCAAAAGTTCGCCTTTTGTGTATTTCGGATATCGCCTGTAAGTAATATATTTTTTTTTTCACACAAAAGTAGTGGCCCATTCTACCCGCTGTCCGAAACCCTAACTACATGCGAGATTTCGTGTCCTTTGGTTTCTATTTGCGATCTTATAATGGCTGCAAAATCAGGAACATTTTTAGTTGTTGGTCCATTTCAATCCCTAAATATATTGCGTTCATCTTTTAAAACAATAGCTCATTTGAGCCTAACCCTATCCTTCTGAAAATTTTCGTGAAGATCAGACAATAATTTCAATCTGTATATAATAACCCCAACCCGTGTTGTAAGGTGGAAAAATTTTACAAAATTTACATTTCAAAATTATAAGTCAAACTGAAAAAATCGCATGCGATAAAAAATAAAAAAAATCACAAAATGTTACAAAATCTATAATAACATCATTATTGGCACAATTTTTTGCGATTTTTTTAGATTTTGTTCTCCTATGCCAAAAAGGCATTCTGAATTGACAAAATTTGTCAAAATCGGTCCAGCCATTCTTGAGATATAAGCATTCTAACTAACATCCCCTTCCTTTGTATATACACATTGTATATATTTCGCTATATATATCCATTATATTTACTATCGGCATCTACGTAACGGTCAGAATTGACCTGTTCGTCTATTCGTGATTTCGCCGGGATTAAAAATATTCGCGGTTTAATGGAAAATTTGACTTTTATTTAACACAAATGTTGTGGCCTATTTCACCCACTAAATATTACCCGATGACCATCAAAATTGGAAGGCTTCTGCCCAGTCCTAAGCTCTAGCCCCATGCTAACTTCCGCTTTGATTGGTCTATAATTGCGACCTGTAGAGCAACTGCAAAATCAGGATTTTTTCAGTTTTTGGTCCATTTCAACCCCTAAATATTATGCGATCATCTCCAAATGAAATAGGGTTCTATTCTGACCCTAGCCCCACCTCCATTCTAAATTTCGTGAAGATGGGGCCATAATTGCGACCTGTAGAGTGATTACAAATTAACATGGACAGACGGACGGACGGACATACATAGCTAGATCGACTCAGAGAGATAGGAAGATCCATATATACTTTCCTATGTGGGAAACCAATATTTCGTGGTGTTACATAAATTCTGGCCCAATCAAACTTATAATACCCCCAACACATAGTGTTGTAGGGTATAAAAATCAGTTTTTAGAAAAACGCTCTGATAAATTAATTTGTAAAAGTAGCTGGGCAATTATTTCCGAAAGTGTCACTAGATATCTGCGCCAAATGCGCAAGCGTGGTTTGAAAACTCAAAATGCCGTTTTGAGGATTTATGTCAAACTTCATAGCCCTAACGCCTTGAATTCTACAGTATGATAATTGGATAGAATAATAAAGTAAAATGCATAGAACAAATAAGAATTACTAACTGGAAATATACATTTTATGAGTTATGCCACTCTTTGAGTAAATTACCGGTTTCTGTATATTCAGAGGAAATATAGGAAATAAAAATAGTTTATAAAAAAACAAACACAGCCATGAAACGGAATGACTGGACGTCTGCATTGCATTACCTTTATGTTCCGTCTCATAGTCCAGACGCATATAATATAATCGTCATGGTTTTTTCCTTATCAAATAAATGTCTGCCTCTCTTTATTCATTATGACAATCAGTTTATAGTACGGTCAATGGAAAAAAGTTTTCCAATCAGCCACGCTTCGTATTGCATTCTAGTATCGGCAGACATTTCACGTTTCATATTCTTTTTTTTTTTAAATCCGTTGATACAGGAAAATGGAAATGGGTGGAAAATTATGGGGAGCAAAGTTCAAGTTTTTCTAATAAGTAAAGTGGGAAGAAATTTTAAATTTGTGTTTCTACACAATACACTAAAAAAAAGTTAAATTTCTTTTGATAACAAAGGCTAGAAGAACTACATCGAAATATATCATTTTCGAACTTGATCTTGATAAGCATTAGTTTAGAGCAAAGTTTGCATCATAAGAAAGCTTATATATACATGAATGAATATTGAATTAAAAATAAAGATTTTATTCAAATACATAAATATTTAAAAAATATGTATTTCAAATACATATTTCAAAATCATTATATAAATGTATTATATTTTTGACTAAATAAAATGACTTTTCAATAAACTTGAAAAGTAATTTTATTTAGTCAAAAATTTCTTCTCGTTTAATTTTATATTAATTATAATTAATTTTAATTTTATATTAATTATAAAAAATAAATAGTTCCGCTCCCATATTTAGCACCCAATACAAAAAATGCGATAAGAAATGGTAATTAAGACATTTTTTACTAGATTTCATTTTAAAATGCATTCAACTGTGGCTATACGTGTGTGCCGTTTCATTTTTTATTTTAAATAGGACAAAGGTCCACGGCTCTAAATAAAACGCCGAGATATCATCGCTGGCGAATTTTGCTTATGTTTGAATTTTGTTTCTCAATGTTAATTAGTCAACAATGGCAAATTACTCGAAAAATTGTTTGAGTTTGAAATCCGCTTAGTTCTGGATTTAAAACGTGTCAAAACAACAATTCATAAACAAAGGGAGAATATAGACCATATCTGTTTAATTTTTATGTACTTCCCCCTCAGATTTATAACGTTTTTGAGTCGAAAACAAATCTAACAGATATGACATACATTTTTCACATTTTTACAAATAAGTAGTATTTTTAAACATTTGAAACTTTCAAATATTATCTAAATGGTTTCGGAATCACATCAAATTCGTCGCCATTTCTAATTACTTATGTTCGGTGCATTTTCCACCAGAGAAAAGAATTTGTTCGATTGAGATGAAATTTTCCACAAATCATCGAATCATATTTGGATACAGCTCCCATATATAGTATCGTCTGATTTCGTAAATATTGCGCACCAAATGCGTAATATCAACCCGAAAATGAATTTTAGTACACAAGGTCAAGCTCAGTCCAGAAGTATGTCTGGAAATTTTGTTTCAAATTTAGATATATCAGTTCAGATTTAGATATAGCTCTCACATATATTTTCGTTCAATTTCAATTTTAATGCCATATGTGTAATATTCGTCCAAATTGGATGGATTTCGTCCCATCCGATCGAATTCAGTACTTCAAATTTGGTGAAAATCGGTTCAGATGTAGTTATAGTTGCCATATGACACATTCGTAATATGCGCTCAATGATATTTGGAACCAGATATCAGATACGCCTCAGAAATAACTTTTCCAATTTTTAGATTTGGATATAGCTTTTATCTATATATATTTATCTGATTTTAGGTTTATTGTGCACAAAATGGTTAACATCAGTCCAATTGAAGTGGATTAGCAGGAAATTCTTCGAAGTTGGTGAAAATCGGTTTAGATGTAGCTATAGTTCCCATAGTTATGTTTTATGCGATTTGATGTTTAGGTCCCTCACATTCATACCACAATAACATTTGGTACCAGATTTAAGATACAGTTTAGAAATACCTCCACCAAATTTCAGCCAGATCGGTTCAGATTTGCACATATAATGATTAATATCAGTCCATATATAATGCAATAATGGTTAAATTTGTCATTCCATTTGTAACATCTCTAAATATTCGTCATATTTATGACCAGCATAAAATTCTACATCGATTTAACGATGTCCGTCTGTGTGATGAAATCAGGATACAACCCACCATATTTGTCGCAGAGCTTTACAATTTGGCACAGTAGTTTGTATTGTGTCTAAGATCGTTGGTATTGAAAATGAGATATATCGGTCCACGTTTTGGGATATCTCCAAAATAACGGTACCTACCGATATTCGGTATTTTGACGATTTTTGCCACATTTTTCCACGGATTTGTCCAAAAAATTGGTATTTTTAATTCGTTGTGGTTTCTAGCTTCGGTGACGGAACGATATTCGCTATTTTGATCATTTTTGGCACATTTTTAAACGGATTTGTCTAAAAATTCGTATTTGTAGTTCATGATGGGTTCTAGCTCCGGCGGCAGAACATTGAATATCTAGGTCCACGTTTTCGTATAGCGCACATGTAACGGTACCTTCGGATATTCGGTATTTTGACGATTAAGAAAACATTTTCTAATAGATTTGTATACAATTTAGTACTAGTGCTCCATAAAGGGTTCTATATAAGGGTACCCACTGATATTCGGTATTTTTGTAATCCTAGGCATATTTACCCACGAAATTTGGTATTTATTTCCCGCAATTAATAATCATCCCGCTTTTTGGTATAGCCCCATATTTACCCACGAAATTTGGTATTTATTTCTCGCAATTAATAACCATCCCGCTTTTTTGGTATGGCCCCATACAACGGCTCAAGCTACTTTATTGAGAACTTTTCCTATCGATCTTACTAGTGCTTGTAGTTTAGAGCGGAACACGTTTGAATCCAGAAAAATTTATATACAAATGTTTTCTTTGCCTAATTGTGGAGGTTAATCGGCCTGGCCGAACTTGATGTATTTTTACTGGTAAAATAAACCTTCTCGGGGTTTTATTATGCACTATATATAATGTTTCTATCAAATTTGGTGGAAAACGATTCAAAGTTGGATATACCTCTCATATAATTGTTCCTACTGATTTCAAATTATAACTGCTCTAAAGCCGTAATACGCACTTCATTCAATGATCGATGCAAGAATTGGGAGTTTTTGGGCATTAAAATCGAATTATAAAAAAGGGTACAAATGTCATAATCCAAATTTGTGCAAGTCAGGTCGATATTAAAACATCCCGATATTAATGTTAGGAATAATTCATTATTTTTTAGCTTACTGGTAATGCAGAGAGTATGTAGTTGTCATTACTATGCTATAGTGATACGTGTGCTTACCAATTGTTGGTGGTATCAAAATAGGCCCTTGACAAGAGTCAACATTTTGAAAAAATACAATACAATTTTTTTTTAAAAAACCTCTTTATTTCAGCTTCAAAGAACGTGGTGCTCGCTATGCTTTATTGTCTCTATCCGATGAGCAGAAGAAAATCGGTGTTATTTCGGCTTCGTTGGGTAATCATGCTCAGGTAAGTCCCAAACCTTCATTTTTACGGATTTCAAAATATTTCAACATTTATTTTTTCCACTCTTTAGGCTCTCAGTTATCATGGCTGGAAATTGAACATTCCTGTGACAGTGGTAATGCCCAAGGCGGCTCCGATTATGAAAATTCAAAAATGTCGTAACTACAAGGCCAATGTTATTGTCGAGGGTAAGGATATGGGCGAGGCCAAGGCCTTAGCCATGAAAATGGCCAAAGAACAGAAAATGTTGTACATCAACGGTTACGATCATCCACACATTATGGCCGGTCAGGGTACTATTGGTTTGGAGATTCTCGAACAAGTTCCAAATCCCGATGCAGTTATTATACCCGTTGGCGGTGGTGGCCTCATTGCGGGTATTGCAACGGCCATTAAGGCCTTGTCGCCAAAAACAAAAATAATTGTAAGTCGAAACTTGGCGATTTGTTTGAATTTTTTATTTTAATTTTAAAATCTCCATTCTAGGGTGTTGAATCAGCCAAATGTCCCAGTTTCTCTAATGCCATGGAAAATAATGGCCCCATTCACACACCTATTAAGAATACCTTAGCCGATGGTTTAGCTGTACCCAAAGTGGGTTACAATGCCTTTGTCACAGCCTTGCCATTGATTGACAAAATGGTGGTGGTGAAAGAAGAATGGATTGCCTTGGCCATTTTACGTCTGGTTGAAGAAGAGAAATGTGTGGTTGAAGGTGCTGGAGCTTCGGGTTTGGCTGCCATTTTGGCTGGACAGTTGCCGGAACTGAAGGGCAAGAAGTAAGATTTTCTTAAAGAAAGATAGATATTTTTAAGCTTCGACCAAATTTTTTTTTATAGAGATTGAATGTTGACCAAATTTTTGTTAGATATTAAAATTGGACTGAATTTTCGTTAGAGAAAAATTTTGAACCAATTTTCCGATAGAGATAAAATTTAGACCAAGTTTTCGTCAGAGATAAAATTTGGACCAAATTTCCGGCAGAAATAAAATTTGGACCAAATTTCCGTAAGAAATAAATTTGGACAAAATTTTCTATAGAGATAGAAATCGGACTAAATTTTCTATAGAGATAGAATTTGGACCAAATTTTCTATAGAGATAGAATTTGGACCAAATTTTCTATAGAGATAGAATTTGGACCAAATTTTCTATAGAGATAGAATTTGGACCAAATTTTCTATAGAGATAGAATTTGGACCAAATTTTCTATAGAGATAGAATTTGGACCAAATTTTCTATAGAGATAGAATTTGGACCAAATTTTCTATAGAGATAGAATTTGGACCAAATTTTCTATAGAGATAGAATTTGGACCAAATTTTCTAGAGATATAATTTGGATCAAATTTTCTATAGAGATAGAATTTGGACCAAATTTTCTATAGAGATAGAATTTGGACCAAATTTTCTATAGAGATAGAATTTGGACCAAATTTTCTATAGAGATAGAATTTGGACCAAATTTTCTATAGAGATAGAATTTGGACCAAATTTTCTATAGAGATAGAATTTGGACCAAATTTTATATAGAGATAGAATTTGGACCAAATTTTCTATAGAGATAGAATTTGGACCAATTTTCTATAGAGATATAATTTGGATCAAATTTTCTATAGAGATAGAATTTGGACCAAATTTTCTATAGAGATAGAATTTGGACCAAATTTTCTATAGAGATAGAATTTGGACCAAATTTTCTATAGAGATAGAATTTGGACCAAATTTTCTATAGAGATAGAATTTGGACCAAATTTTCTATAGAGATAGAATTTGGACCAAATTTTCTATAGAGATAGAATTTGGACCAAATTTTCTATAGAGATAGAATTTGGACCAAATTTTCTATAGAGATAGAATTTGGACCAAATTTTCTATAGAGATAGAATTTGGACCAAATTTTCTATAGAGATAGAATTTGGACCAAATTTTCTATAGAGATAGAATTTGGACCAAATTTTCTATAGAGATAGAATTTGGACCAAATTTTCTATAGAGATAGAATTTGGACCAAATTTTCTATAGAGATAGAATTTGGACCAAATTTTCTATAGAGATAGAATTTGGATCAAATTTTCTATAGAGATAGAATTTGGACCAAATTTTCTATAGAAATATAATTTGGACCAAATGTTCTATAGAGATATAATTTGGACCAAATTTTCTATAGAGATAGAATTTGGACCAAATGTTCTATAGAGATAGAATTTGGACCAAATGTTCTATAGAGATAGAATTTGGACCAAATTTTGTATACAGATAGAATTTGGACCAAGTTTTCTATAGATATAACGTTGGGGCCAAATTTCCGATAGAGGTACAAATATGATCCAATTTCAAATTGGACTAAACTCTCCATGGAAATAACATTTAGACCAAATTCTCTATTGAGATAAAATTTGGACCAAATTCAGTATTGAGATAAAATTTGGACCAAATTTTCGATGGCGATAAAATTTGGACCAAATTTCTGATAGTGATAAAATTTTGACCAAATTTTTGATAGTGATAGAATTTGGACCAAATTTTCTGTAGAAATAAAATTTTGGCAAGTTTTTCTTTAGACCCACATGGACTCACATAGATATAAAACTGAACTTGCAAAGATAACTACCATCTTCATTTTTCAACTTTCCAGGGTTGTCGTCCTCCTATGTGGTGGTAACATCGACACAACAGTGTTCGGTCGCTGTTTGGAACGTGGCTTGGCTGCCGAGGGTCGTTTGGTTAAATTCAATGTTGAGGTATCCGATCGTCCCGGTGGCATTCATGAGCTGTGTGAAATTCTCTCAGAACTTGGTGTATCCATTAAGGATATTATGCATGAACGAGCCTGGCTAAAGGATATCTATACAGTGGAAGTTAAGGTGGTGTGTGAGACCAGAGATTGGGCCCACAGTACAGAATTGAAAGAAGAACTGAAGAGACATTATTCGAAAGTGCAATTTTCTGAAGAGCCATTGGCCATACATGAACAAATGATTAATCAAGGCAAGAAGTAGAAACGCGAAGTCCTTGTAGCATAAAATCCTTGTTATTATTATTTTTATAAAAATGTATTTAATCAATAAATTATTATTTATTTAAGTAACTACTAAAATTTGTTTGTTATTATTCTTCCTCCTCCTCCTCCTCCTCCTCTTCTTCTTCTTCCTCATCATCATCACTTGCTTCTTCCTCAGATTCATGAGTTTCATTTTCATAATCACCCAAATGCTCTCCCATATCCACCAACTGCAGTTCCTTTTTGAGCAAACTTAGGCGATAGGCTTCCTCCATTTCAACACTGGGATCAGTGGTCTCCACAAAATCCATTGGCATATGAGGATATTCCTCAGCTGGATCTGGTATTTGTTGCCATGCCATATTACGTGCCACATACTTATGACCCCAACCCAAATAAATGGAATCGCAAAGATCCTCAAAAGCAAAGGAAAAGGCTCCTGGCCATAGATTGGATCTCATTATCAGAATACGTTCATTTTTATTGGTAAAATTGCTGGTGAAACGTCCAACCCATGGCACCGGAATTTCGGGGTTTACATCTCGAGAACAAGGACTCAATATCGATGGTCCATATTCACGTAAATCAGGTTCTTCAAGTTCCTCTTCTTCTCCGCCTTCTTCGGAATCGGTTTCTTCGCTTTTGTCCTCTTCATCGCCTTCTTCTTCGTTGTTATCTTCTTCTAAACCCATTTCTGCAAGCTCACGTTGTTTCTCCAAGCGTTTAAGTTCCCGCTGTCGTTCACGTTTTGCCTTTTCCTCATCGAACCAAACAACACGTCCTTGTTTTAAAATGTTGGGCCTTGTGTGAAGCCATTGCGTGGCTTCGGTTAAGGTTTTTAAAGATAACGGATTATAATTTTCATTCTTGACCAAAACAATATCATTATCTGAAAATTGGTTTTAAATTTAGAAAATTTTTTATAAAACAATAACAATAGAATAACTTTTTGCATCTAATTTTGAATAATTTTAATAAAGATATGTTTATTCAGTCCCTAATCGGAACCCCCCTTCTGAAATCATCATGCGTATCATCTGGGTAGAAGAATACAAAATGTCGGGTTTCGTATGAACCCTTGTGAGTTCTAAAACACGTTTTTTAAACAAATAAACCTTATATGTATTTTCAAGGTATTTGAATTGAAGGAAGATAAAGTTTTTGTTTTTGTTGGACAATCATACGATTATTTAAAATTTTGACCCAGAGAGAGATAGGGAAAGAAATATAGATAATGCGCCTGACACCCTTGCCTTTCAATGAGATATGTTTTTGGGACAGGTACCGTAAAGTGTAGACCGATATTGTCCATTTTCGTACTTAATTCAAGTTGAATGAAATTAGAAAAAATTAGAATTCGACTGGTTATTGAAAGTATTGATCGTTTATGGGAGAGGTACCAGAAAGCCTAGATCCACATACCCAACTACATATTGTCAGATTTGACTTTACCCTTAGTTTGAGTGTTACATCTCAAGAAATTTTAGTTTGGAAAAAACACATATTACGTCGTGGTTTAAAATTTGACTTCTCAAATTAGAACGATTATTACCATACCTCCGAGAATCGTTCTTTAATCTCTCTCTCAAAAAAAAAAAAAAAAAAAAAAAAATTGGGAGGATATATTTCCCATCTCCGAACTCGATCTAAGTTTGATAAAAATATTACAGAGTGAGATGAAAAAATATGACAACCAAATTCAGACTGCTGTCATTTCTAAGCCACTAGTCCGACAGCTGTTAAAATTATTCCAGTGACAGCTCATTATATTTTTTATAAGGGTACAAAAGCATTTTGGTGAAAATTTTGCTGAAAAAAAGTTCGTAATGGATTTCAAGCGTGATAGTGTAATTTCTTTATATTTTGCTGGAAAACCACAAGTGGCTATCGTTAGAGCACTCCAGCATTTAAATGTGAATCAATCTTTTGTGTCTCGTACCATCGCCCGTTAGCGTGATACTGGTAGCGTAGCCCGACGTCAAGGGAGTGGGTGGAAGCAACATCAGCAGAAATGATTCGAAAAGAACAGAAGCGTCTTGATCGAAACCCGCCGAAAAATGGCTCGTGAGCTGAACATATCGCAATATTCCATTCGGAAAATATTGGAAAATTGGCTCGGGGTAAAGTCATTGAAATTCCAAAAAGTGCAAGAACTTACACCGCAACGGCAATAGAAAGAAAGAAAATAGGCTTACAAGAGCTAAAGAGTCGCTTCGCTTGGCCGAAAGTGGTGACCTGCCGAATTTGGTTTTCTCCGATTAGAAAACATTTGATGTCCAGCAGTTTGCAAACAACCAAAACGATGGTGTTTACTTGCCAAAGAGGTCAGCTGAAAATGTGCACCTTCGGTTGGCCACCAGAACTCAAGCGTCAGCCATTATCATAATGGTGTGGGCCGCCATAACAGCCGATGGGTGCTCTCCTCTCGTATTAATCGACCGTGGCATCAGAATAAATGCAGAATATTATCGCGAAAATATTCTGGACGGTGTATTAAAGCCTTGGGCACGCAAACATTTTGGCCACAGACCTTGGTCGTGCCAACAGAACTCAGCACGCACCACCCAAGAATGGTTACAAAATGAGGTTCCTCGCTTCATTTCCAGCGCACAATGACCCCCAAAATCTCTGGATACCAATCCGTTGGACTATTGTGTCTGGAGTGTTTTGGAAAGTAAGGTTGGCACTAAAATATACCAAAGTGTCGATCACCTCAAGCAAGCGCTTCGCCGGGAATGGGCCAAAATACCGCAAAGCAACATTCGGGCAGCGTGTGTAGGTTTCATTGGCCGTTTGAAGGCCACAATTCGTGCCAAAGGTGGCCAATTCGAACAAATCTATACATATTTTAAAATTTTATGCTATTTCCGACATTTCACTTCAGACTGAATTCAGCCAAGAAGCAAGTACTTTAAATTTTGGTGAAAATCGGTTCAGATTTAGCTATAGCTCCCATATGCATGTTTCAGCCGATTTGAAGTTAAAGCCCACCACATGAGTAGTATGCACTCCACAACAATTTATTTTTATACCTGATATTAGATACAGCTCGAAAATACCTCTGCCAAAATTGTATCGATATCCGTTCAGATTTTTTTATAGCTTCAATATACATCTTTATCCGATTTTATGCTTATTGTTCACCATATATGTAATATCTGCACAAATTGGATATATTGGTTCATATTGAACCGAATTTTTCCATTTGCTGAAACTCAGTCCGGTTTATTTATTGCTTCAATAAATATTTTTTAATATCATTTTTTATCGAAGTCATATCATGCACTAACTATACAGCAATATTATTTTGTACTAGAGGTACAGAATCCTCCGTCAAATTTGTTGAATATCGATTCAGAGTTGGATACAGTTCCCAAATTTTGACTACTCTAAAGCCATGATACGCATTCAAATTAGGTTCATAGTTGGTATGATCTACTTCACATAAACTTTTTTTCGTCCCTTTTTTTTGACCTTTCCATACTGTGTTTTAAGTAACCAGTTCTCTTAAATCAAAAGTTTATCAAACAAAGCAAATCAATTAATTATTTTTTCCGTTACCTGGTTCTTCATCTCCCTCATCTTCTCCTTCGCCAAAAAAGGTACTTGCATTTCCTTCGTCTTCTTCCTCTTCACCCATTTCATCATCAACTATACCATCAAAAAGTCTTTTCTCACTTTTCGTCATTTTGCGATAATATCCCTTGGGAGCTATTTGGGTCCCAGCAGTAATGCGAGCAATCATTGCCCGCAAATAATGTTTCTCTTTGCCCGGAAAACAGGGATATGAAATAATATCAGCTTCCAAATCACCGGTTAAAAATTTCTTAATTAGGCGAGACACTGCAATTTGTTTGGGTGTACAAATCGGCAGCTCAATCCACTCATCTGAAAGGCAGTTCACCACAAAATATGAAAAACGATTAACTCCCTGACCTATGGGTTCGGGAGGTATATCGAAAAGTTCTTCGCGCCTCACAGTGGGAATGGGCATAGCATTAGGTTTCATATTTTCCAGTTCATCGTGGGGATAATTTTCCCAACCTACCGATCCTGGTATTAGCTCTGGACCTATATGGGAGGGTAGTTTTACTTCGTCTGGCATTCTCCATTGATTTTCGGCAATTTCCTTATGCATTTGCAGAAATCTCGAATCGATTTCTTCGTTTGTCAACAGGGCTTCGACAATGTAATACGACGACTTCAGGCCATTAATCATGCCCCAAAAACGGCACTGCCTAATGGAGGGATGTGTCTGGATACGATCCATGGAACAGGCCAGCTGGAATATATCTTCAGAGGAAATGCTAAAACCACATTGGTTCCAATAGAATTGTAAATATTGAACACGTTCATTGAAAATTCGAATTTTATAGGGAAATTCTGGTTTTAATTCCAGTTTTAGGTTTTCTTCTTTTTGGAGTTCCTCTTCCAGATCTTCCTCGGAGATGCCAGGTTTGGTATAATCGACTTGGGGTAACTTCATGGACATCAGCTGTTTCTTTGCCACCTGATATAGACGATGTTCTTCGTATACTCCATTCGGAGGAAAGCGTTCGGGGAGATGTAGTTTCTGCTCACGAACATTGCGACTGAACTCTTCGAAAAAATCAATGACATTTGGTGGCCTCTCGTCTATGACACGTTTTATGATGTCCGATAAATGATCGAAACTGTAAAATATTGAAATTAGAAAATTCAAATTTTCGAGGTCTTAAGGAAGAGTGGACTCTTCCAATCAAAACTTGTTGCTACTCACAGATTATCGCCACTAATACTGCTGTATTGCTGCATTATCGATTTGGCCAATGCCAATTCATAGTCAATATTTGGTGCTGCGGGGCGGGATAATTTTTGTTTCCGGCAATCCTGATTGAAAAGTGCACTGCTAATTAGGGAGGATGAAGAAGAGCTCGATATTATCACAGAGGGACATTGCACAAACGATTGTTTTGAAGTTTGTTTTGATATCTTCTCTTCAGATTCTGCACATGCTGGCTGTGCTCTGGGAAAGGGATAGTCACCACCAATTTTAACACTACTGGAAGTATCTGTTGGTATAAAATCCCCACATGAGAAATTCGTATCCAAATTCATGATTTAAATCGGCTGTATGGGTAAATATGTATGTTTTGGAGTTTGAAAGTTAATAGAAATAAAAATAAATTATTTTTAATGGAATTGACGTCGATTGGATTGGTAATGGCAACAAATCTGAAAATTTTAATAAAAATTGTTCAGACGTAGTCCAAAAACAATACTCGATATTTCGCGATTCGAAATATATTTCTAATGGCCATAAAGTTATGGCTTTGAATGGATGGAAATATTGTCATATTATGTCCTCCAATATAAAATTTGCGGTACACAAACGTTATCATTACAATTTGTAATTCTTCCAAAAGGTCGTTTAAGACTCTTGATCAACGTAAAATTCTCCAAGTCCATGTCCTTAACAAATCCACATAGGAAGTTAAAATCTCACACAGAGTTACCGCCAAGTCAATTCAAATCGGCTTTAATAATCCTTCATTATTTTCCTGCATTTTTATACCCTCCACCATACTATGGAGGGTATATTAATTTTGTCATTCTGTTTGTACTCATGTCAGACCCAACAAAGTATTCATATTCTTTATCAGCGTAAAATTCAAAGACGATTTAGTCATGTCCGTCTGTCTGTCAGTGTGTCTGTCTGTGTGTCTGTCTGTCCGTCTGTCTGTCTGTTGTAATTACGCTATCTTTCGAACAAATTGAGATAGAAGGCTAAAATTTTGCACACATGTATATTTTTCAAGTAGGCAGGTTCGTAAATGGGCCATGTAGGCCCCATATAACGGTACCTCCGGATATTCGGTATTTTGATTATTTTAGCGACATTATTTACCGGGATTGTTTCAAATTTCGCATGTGAAGTTCGTAATGGATACTTCAGCCCATGTTAGAAAATTGTCTGTGCAGGTTCACGTCTTCGTATAGCCTCCATATAACGGTACCCTCCGATATTCGGTATTTTGATGATTTTAGCGACATTATTTACCGGAATTGTTTCAAATTTGGTTTTTAAAATTCGTAATGGATACTACATCCTAAGTCAAAAAATGAGTAATGTAGGTCCATGTCTTCATACAGCCCCCATATAATGGTACCCCCGATATTCGGTATTTTGATGATTTTAGCGACATTATTTAACGGAATCGTTCCAAATTTGGTATTTGAAGTTCGTAATAGATACTGCAGCATTAAAAAGAAAATGGGCTATGTAGATCCTCGTCTTCGTCCATGTCAGAAAATTGTCTGTGCAGGTCCACGTCTTCGGTATTTTGATGATTTTAGCTACATTATAAACAGATTTTTCTTCAAGTTTAGCATTTAAATATTGTAATAATTTATGACAAAAGTTGTCTATGCAGGTAAACTTCGTCGTCGCATTCGGTATTTTTAAAATTTTAAATGAATTTTTAACGGATTTTTTTTTTTGGAATTTGCCAAAATTTGTACCAAATGGTGGAGGGTATTAAAAGTTCGGCCCGGCCGAAGTTACAGCTTTTTTACTTGTTATACACTCAGCGTGATACGACCAAAACGTGCCTCATCGAAATGACGGTTTTAGACCCTAGGTTTATTTGTATCAAATCCGTTTTAGGACATTTGAAGTCGATCTAGCGATGTCCGTCAGCGATTCCTTACAACTTACTATATCTAAATATTTCTCTCGACCAAAAGCCTGGGATGAATAAAATTGGATATAAATGTTCGATTTTCTTGTAAATTTGCCCATACCAATATTTATACCCGACACCACATAGTGGTAGGGGTATTATGTCTTTGTGCATTTGTTTTTAACAAGGGAGAAGGAAGCTAGATAGACCCATAGTTACTTTTGAGGATCTTCATAGAATCACTTTCTGAGTCGATTTATGCATGTCAGTCAGTCCGTCCGTCCGTCCATTCGTCCGTCCATGTATTACTGTGAACAACACGCAGGTCGCATTTATTATCAGATTGAGATGACATTTTTCCAAACAATATTTGCTTGGCCCAAGGACGAATCTATTGAAATTGGTGATAATAGGATCAGATATAGCTCTCATATATCTTCAACCCATTTTTTATACCCTACAACACTATGTGTTGGGGGTATTATAAGTTTGATTGGGCCAAAAATTATGTAACACCTCGAAATATTGGTTTCCCACATAGGAAAGTATATATGGATTTTCCTAGCTCGCCGAGCTGAGTCGATCTAGCTATGTATGTCCGTCCGTCCGTCTGTCCGTCTGTCCATGTTAATTTGTAATCACTCTACAGGTCGCAATTATGGCCCGATCTTCACGAAATTTAGAATGGAGGTGGGGATAGGGTCAGAATAGAACCCTATTTCTTTTAGAGATGATCGCCAAATGTTTAGGTGTTGAAATGGACCAAATACTGAAAAAATGTCGGATTTTGCAGTAGCTATACAGGTCGCAATTATAGATCAATCGACGCGGAATTTCGCATGTAGCTAGAGTTTAGGGCGGGGAAGAAGCCTACCAATTTGGGTGGTCATCGGATACTATTTAGCGGGTAAAATAGACCACATCTTTTGTGTTGAAAAAATTCAAAATTTTTCATTAAACCGCGAATACTTTTAATCCTGGCGAAATCCAAAGCCATGTCAAGTTTACTTCTGATCTTTACATTGATGTTAACATCCAACAAATCGGATATATAGCAAAATACGTGCGATATATATGTCTATCAAAGAAGGTATGCTTGAAAGATCTCTTATATGTCGAGAACGGCTGAACTGATTTCGACAGTTCTCATTAATTCGCTATGTCCTCTTGGCAGGAAAGAAAAATCGTCTAAAAAAATCGCATAAAAATATCTCTCTAATGATGAAAATATTGATTTTGTATTATTTTCTCATATTTTTTCAATTTTGTCATATTTTTGGCATATTTTCATTTTGAATTAAACATTTGGTAATATTTCTACAGCTAACAAAACTAAGTAGTTAGGATATCAGGATATCATATACAGATCGCATTTATGGCCCGATCCTTATGAAATTTTGCATGGGGATAAGATGAGGGTCAGAATAGAAGCCTACTCTTTTTGGAGATGATCGCAATATATTTAGGGGTTGAAATGGACAAAAAAAAAACTGCAAAATTGTCAGCAGGTCGTAATTATCGCCCGATCCTCACGCACATTTGAATGGGGGTTACCGGACATTGCAAAAGCCAAGCAGTTTTGGATGGTCATCCAAAAATATTCAATGTGTGAAATAGTTTGCCAACTTTTGTAGACAAAATACGAGAATGTCCATTACAGTGACTTCTTGGAGAATTCACAAATACAGGAAAGACGCACTTCTGACTATTTCGTTAACGCTGATTTAGTTGAAGAATATAGTCAAATGGCTGTATCTCATATAGATGCGTTTCAGTCAAAAACCAATAATAAATGTTAATCCTTTGCCACTTCTGAGAGATTATGGGTCTTCGGGAAATATTGGTTCCAGATCTAGGAAGACCATTTACTTGCAACATCTACCAAAATAAATTGGAAATGAGCAAATTAGTTTCAGTTGCTATTATTCGAAAATTAGAGAACGAAACCTGATGGTTTTCTTTTATTATTTTTGGTTTTCTTTTATTATCTTGTGGAATTCTTTCGAGTATCTCGCCTATATAAACTGTATCATTTATTATAGTGTTGTAGGGTATTCAACGGTCGGCCCCGCTCGACTGTAGACTTTGCTTACTTGTTTAATTATGCGCTAATGACCTGAATTTTGGCACATCTGATCGAATTCATTCTAGAAGAAAGTACATCAAATCGGTTCAGGTATAGCTATAGCTCCCATATATATATATATATATATATATATATATATATATATATATATATATGTTTCGATTTGGGGTTTTAAGTTCCTCACACGTGTACTATGCATTCCACAACGATGATAGTTGGTAACAGATATCAGATACAGCTCTGAAATAAGTGTATCAAATTTGTCAAGATCGGCTCAGATATGGATAATCCAAATGGCCTGAATTTTCGCCTATCCGACCGAATTCAGTCTGGAAGCAAGTACATTAAATTTGGTGAAAATCGATTCAGATATAGCTATTGCTCCATATATGTGTTTCACTCGATTTGGTGTTTAAGTCCCTCATATTCGTAATATGCATTCGACAACAATGATATTTGATACCAGATATCTCAGAAATTTGTTTGCCAAATTTTATCGAGAACGACTAAGATTTGGATATAGGTCCAAAATATATGTCCTTAATCCGATTTCAGGTTTATAGTGCAAATAATTGCTAATATCAGCCAAAATGGAGTGAATTTCGGAACGAACGTTAACATTTTGTGGAACTCGGCTCCCATATATTTTTTAACGAAGTGATATCATGAACTGTACAGGGTTGTCCATATTCGACGGACCCATCTGGCAACGCCATAACTTTTGACAGAGATGTCATATCGCTTAATTACATACCGCGTTTGAAGCGTCAGTCCAAGCAGATTTTTACCATGAACCAATACACGCCACGCGAAATAGTTGAAATTTACATTCAACAGAAGAAGTCAATCGCGAAAACTCAACGTGCTTTTAAAACATTAAAAAATGTGAGAAGTGCGCCTTCTAAGAACACCATTCAGCGTTTATACGAAAAATTTTCGACTGGTAAGGCTCTTTCTAATCCGAAGAGGCCATATAAAAGTCGACCAAGGCGATCGGCCAAGAATATCGCTGCCGTACGAGTCAGTGTTGAGAGGTCCCCAAGAACATCCCAAAAACGCCGTTCTCAACAGTTGGGCATGGCTCGGTCCACTTTACAACGGATTATTCGCATTGACGCAAAGAATGTTGCCTGCGGACAAGCCTTGTCGATTGGAATGGGCCCAAAGGGTCATGGGTCCGTCGAATATGGGCAACCCTGTATAGCAATGTTTTTTGGTATACAAGATTAAAATGTCTCCGTCAAATTTAGTGAAAATCGATTCAGAATTGGATATGCCTTCTGAAACCAAACTGTGACTGCTCTAAAGCCAAATGTTGATAGGTGGTATGATCTACTTTAAATATGCACATTTTTATGCCCTCCACCATACTATGGAGGGTATATTAACTTTGTCATTCCGTTTGTAACTCCTCGAAATAC